TTTCAAATATTATCAAATAAAATTTTATTTAAATATTTTAAAGTTTAAAAAATATAGATTATAAGCAAATTTTTAACAATTTTCTAGACAAATTTGCCTAGAAAAGCTTACAGATTAAAGGATAATGCTTGACAAAGTATTAAAAAGTTAAAAGACTAAAGAAATTATTTTAATACTAAAAAAAAAACAAATAAATTATATTTGTATTACAATATTATTTCTGATCTCTGGCATCAATATTTTTGTTTAAAAAGATAAACAATGCTGACTGTTTTGATAATTTTACATATTAATCTTTTGAATATTATAAATTAAATTATTCATTTTTATAAAATTTTTTTTCAAAAAAAATAAGAACAATAAATTTTATAAATAATTCTTTGTATAAGTTTTATAGTTGTATTATAATTGTTCTAAGTTTTTAATGATTCTGATTTGAGGTTTTTTATAATTGTTTTTAGAAACAACCTTTTGGTTTGGATGCCAAATAGAAAAAAAATCTACTAAGATGAAAACCTTAATCTTTCTTCAAATAACCACAAGTACATCTGCTTATTAGTATTTCACATCTATTTTGACTTTGTCAATAACAATTTACTTCATATAAAACCAGAAGTATTATCTTATTAATCTTGTTATAATATTTTTCTATAATTTAGTTTGTTGTTATTATTGATTAGAAAATTATTAGAAAGAGTTGTCTGTCTATGCCATTCTCAATACTATTAATCTTTTTAATTTAAATAAATTTATTATTTATTTAAAAATGTGAAAACTTTTTGTTCTAATTTGCTCAAGTAAATTCTACCAAAAAACTATATATAAAAATATTTTAATAATTCTTAATTAAAAACTTTATAGGAATTTATATGCTATTATCTATTTGTTATTTATAAAAAATCAAATTACCACTTACAAATTTCTAAATAAAAAAAATAAAAACTAGTATTAAATAACTAGAGTTATTAATGAAACTGGTAACTATCTAAAATCTAATTGGTTGTTCTACTAGAACAACCAATCAGATTTTAAAGAAACATCAGTTTCACTATCATAATTTAGTTTTACCAGCACTCTTGTCATAACTCAACATTTTACCTATATAAAGTTTTTTTTTATAAAACGTTGATATTACTAAAACTCCTTCTAACATAACTTAATAGCCAAATCTAACCCTAATCTAACAACGAAATTTTTTTTTAGATTAGTTAGTTAAATTACGGGCAAATTATTAATCATTTAATGTTAGTCATTTAAGATGTGTCAGCTGTATTGAAGGCAAATGCAAATTTTGGTAAATATAGTCAACTCTAAGTGCAGGATAATGAGTCAGAAAAATATCTTGCTTTTAAAGAGAATTTGCAATTTAGGAAAACCAAATTAAAACATAATTGATTATTTCTAAAATACAAGTTAATAAGTTAAAATATAACTTGCATTTAGGGAAAAACTTGTGATCAAATAAATCAATTTAATTGGTTAATAGATACCTTGTATTTAAAGAGAATAATTATATATAGATTGGTTAAAAATCCTGCATTTATGAAATAAAGAATTTGCATTTATTTTAGAAGTCGTGATAAAATGCTAAGCATCTAGAGAGAACTTGCAATTCGAAAATGTGCATTTAGAGGAAGTTGACTGTATATTATCGTTATGTAGTATATAGACTTAAATAAGAAACCCAAAGTCAAACATAAGCTGCCACAATAAATCATAAAAAATTGTAAATACATACTGTGTTTTTAATAACAGTAGCATATATAGTTAAACTGTATAATCTATAATACAATAGTTGATTTGGACCTTGTAATTACTAAAAAAGCACGTGTTAAAGCTTTTTTTCATTTTAAGAAAAACTTTCTAACGCTTATAAACAAAATTTCAAGTTAAAGCGGTTTTTTAAAAGTTTATCACTTCGATTTTCATATTACTCCTAAACAGCACCCTGATTGGTAAATCAAAGGATAGCACTGGCGATGAATTACAATGTCTTCCATATCATGTGTATGTAAATAAATTATGCTTATCTGTTATCGGAGATTTTTGAGCTCGAATTATGTGGCGTTTATAAATCACATGCTGATTTCTTTACATACCGATATTGTATTTTGATTAACATTTTAAAGTTACATCGATAACGATATACTATATACATTAGATTTTAGCGATTAAGTTTAATCTTGCAACTCGGGAAAAAAAAAAATAAAAAGAAACAACTCGTTTTTCACCTGTCAAAGGAATGATGGAATTATGCACGTACAATGTCGAAAATCAGTTTGATCATCGACCAAGTTAAGGACAAGATTTCTTTAGCACAACAAGTACATACAAGAGAATAGGCACAGTGATACATGGGAAACCTGTACGTAACCGTATTTTTCATTTTTTTCATCTTTTTTCATCTTTTTTTTTTGTCTAGAAAGAACAAATTTTAATTTTACGCATTAAAATGCCAAGTATTTTAATAAACAGAATGACAAGATGTTTTTCAAATGTGTGACATTCAAAAAAAAAAAGCTTTTTTTGTTGCCTAATTTATAAATATTACAAATATTTATTCACCTTGTGACACTTGAAACCTTAAATTATTTGACATATTGATGTCATTTGTACCCGACACGTCAAAGGAATTTGTTTTGATTTTTGGTATAGGCGCAACCATGTAAAATATATTTTTTTCCGTTTCCATGCTCTGATTATTGAATATTGATTAGATAGTAATATCATTTTCAGATCTTTATTTTCTCCTAGATAAGATAATCCGATATTGAAGGATAAATCCAAGAATAATTCAAGACTTTAAAAAAAATGTCAAATGTAAAGCCACCGCGTAGAGTTGATCAACAAAAAAAAATCATAATAATAGTAAAATCACAAATGTATATAATTAGTTTGTATAAAGGCTTGGCCGAAGGCTGGGAATATCTGTTTAGATGATTGTAAGTTACAAAAAGAGAATTATTGATTTATTGTTTAACATCAGAAAGTCAAGTCTGAGTAAAATAAAAAGGCTTTGTTCGTAGGACAAGAAGTAAATTTTTTATTTCTTCGAATCAAAAAGAGCATGAATGTTGAGCTTGGCTTAATATTTGCATTCTGAGCCTGGAAAAAGTATACGATCTTAGCGAATGTCAACACATTGAAAACGTGGATTTACGGTTGAGTCAAATAAGGAAATATCATCAAGGTTTAATTATGAGACCCTTTTCTGGAAAGCTTTTGTATACAATCTCATGGTACCGTGATGATAAATACTTGTCGAGACACAAGGACGCAGCCACTAATTCAAATAATTCAGGGATGTCCAAAAAAGAACCGTTACAGTAGTAGAGGATTAATGAGACCAGTTCTCACTTTATTAGGAATTGTTCACATTTAATCAGAAAGAATTCATTATGAAATAGAAGTGCAAAAAAGAATCAAAGATGAAAAAAAAACATAAGATTAATTTGGCAGAACATAATACATATTAATCGACATAATGCATTCCAAAATTAATGATAAATATTTTTTAAATCAAAATCTTTTGTCATTGATGCATTAATTTATAAACGCGTAATTGATTTTTTTTTGATCAATATTTAGAATAAATTGATTCAACCATCATTCCAGAGTTGTGGTCTCATTCGCAGGTTTGGGCAGACTATTCGATCCGGCCATCGCAAGTCCCAACGGGATCATTAACATTGTTACTTACTCTTGATCACAAACAAAGCCCCGAGGGCTTTTTGGACAATGTTTCATGGCTGTGTGATGTGGGAATTAGTCGATCTAAAATTCGAAGAAAGAGTCTACCACGAGCTCATAGACCGGGCTCCGTGTCTAAAATGTGGCAAAGTTTTGACTCTTTTAATATTCAATTGGACATGATGAAAAGATAAGCCTATTCATGATATTTACAAATGATAAATTCAGTAAAAAAAACAGATACGAAATAATTTTATTTCTCAGCCATGCTAACGTAACAATTTGAAAGAAACAGTTCAAGAGAAAATCTTAAGACACCAACAAAGCCTTGACAACTCACCGATTATTCACCATCTTATCTCGTGTCACTTTATAACCAAGCCTCTATTTATCATTTAAACATTTTTTCGCGTTTCAGTAATCATCTGTCCACAAAAGGCAATTGAATAAGAATGTTTCCGTGTATCATCCAAATTTTCGTGTCAATAAAAACAAAAAAAAATAATAATAAACATCAACTTGACTCTCCCCACATATTCGTAAGCTGCCTAAAACGAAAATCATGCTATTTCTCGCATGACACGCATATCATTTCGGAACTTTCACGGATGTGATATATCTATATATATATATTCTTGGCTAGAGGTATGTATCACAAATGTATGGTGTTCATGTATCGAACACGATTTCTAGAATTTTTGCTAAGAAACGAAAAATTTTTTTTGTCACAGCCCAAACGCAGAGGCTCGAACATCTGATAATAAATAATAATATTTCCCATTAGCTATACCAGGACATCTGATAAATATTTAAAAGCCAAGAATTCCCACTGTTGATCCCGTTCCTTCACTTTATCAAATTTAAAAATTATTATAAAAATGTTAACATAACTCTCATTAAACAAATTGTATAAAAAAAAATTTTCTAAAGTCATCTTGTTAGCCATTAAAGCATACTTATGGATTTATTCAATACTATCACCAAGATTTTAAATATCCTGGCGTACCGGTACACTCTCGATGATTGTCAACTATATTTGTTGCCCAAATCCCAAACTCTGGCCAAATTAATATCTCAAAAATTTTATTAATAATTTTTAACTAAACAAATGAGATATATGTTTATAGTTATATAGAATATAGTTATAAAATATCAAGACTATTTTTAAAATATCAAAACTATTTTTAAATATCAAGGCTATTTTTTTTCATTTAATTTTTTTATAAATAGCAATTGTTTGTTGGAGTTTGGGATTTTTCCAGGTTTTGCCGGCAAGTATATTATCAACCTCGATCACCTTGACGCCTGAAATGACGAATCCTGATTTATCCGAAAATTGCACGTTTGTACATATCAAAAAAAAAACAAACACTATCGTTATATGATAAATTTTCATTAGAGAGAACTCAAAAAAATCTTTTCTTATCAATATTTGAATTTAGCCGAAGCCGAAAATGGCAATATTTTAGATATTATTGTTATCATGTCATTACATTATCTCGGCGTAAGTCTCACGTGATGACATCACGTATTCCATTAAAAAAAAACATTGAAATTACATTTTGATTTATCGTTTTATCATACGCGTCTATGTAAATCCTGATATTTTAGACGTTACATGCGTTATGGATCATGCGTCAGCGTCAAGAATTACGGTCAGGTCGAAATAATTGTTCGCTAGCAAGATGCCGCACAATGTCGCAATTGTAGGATATCCAGATATAGGGTCTTGCACTTTTATATTTGGTTTATATTCCTGCAGTCATTCTCGCAATGATTGGGATCCCCAACACTCATTTCTCCGACGATCACTTTCCTGACACTTTCATTCCCCCGACCATTTTCCCAACATTTTCGTTTCATAAAAGTCCTAGTGCTACCACCAGTCAAGAGCACAGTCACATGATCTTAAACCTTATAATCACTTTAACTTTCTTTTCAAGTTTTAGAATTTATTATTTCTTCTCCTTTTGATCTTGATTTCTTTTTTTCTAACTTTTCGTTTTATTTTACCTTTTTTTAGGTGAAATTTGTTAGTTTTTTTTTTCTTAAGAAACAAAAACAATCACTAATTCAAAATAAATTAATTGTAAAGGGCAGGCTTGTGCTAAAACTATATCATAACAAATAAATAGTTCTAAACAATTTATTGTATGGAACTACTGTTTTTTCTTGAAATCTATCTCACTTCTCTCGATACGTATCAAGTTCATCATAGAGGTTCATCATTATAATGAGCGTCGATCTACAAATAGATTTGTAACGAAACCTTTGATCATAAACGTAACGAAATCTTTGATAATAAACTAAAGTGGACAAATAAAATAATACAGTGTGAACGAGATTAAATAGAATTAACTTATTTACGCAAGAGGTTTAACCTTCATTTCTTATCTTTCCTTTTATTTATTGTCAGTATAATAGCAATAATTCGTTGTTATAACTATATGTTTATGTTAAACTCAGGTTGCCGATTAGTGGTGATGCTGGATTCATTTCTCCAGGCCAAGCCAAACTTCCAGCATTGGTCCGGATCGGGTTTATCTTAAAACCGATTCGGCCCGCTAAATTTTTGACCTGCAGCACTATGCTAACTTTTGAGATAAGTTTTAGTGTCTTGAAAAATTTGCCATGTACAAAACATCCATATGCTTCTCTCATTTTTTCAACAACATTATTATTTAGTGTTAAATTTTTTGCATTAGACAAAGATGAAGAACTTTTTGTATTAAACAATAGATTAAAATAGTAATATGTATTTCTATTTATTTTAAGTTTTATTATTTTTAATTGATAATTGATACTTTATTAGTAATAGGTCTATTTTTTTGAAAAAAATTGATATAAATCATAGCAAACACTATTCCTTTTAAAGTTTAGAAATCTTTTTTGAATTACTAGTTAAATTATTATTTTTAATATAATTAAACTTTAATAATTGTATCTTTTTGAAGTCAATTATATATCTTCAAAAAAATATTTTTATAGTAAATAATTTTAATTTACCAATTTACTTTAAATAATTTTATCTCCAAACTAATATTTATAAACTTAAATTTATAGTATTAAAATTTCAATTATAAAATTTCAAGATTCGGATCAAATTTTAAATAAATAAAAAAATTTTACAAAACTTTATAAAATTTATATATGAAAATTTTTTAAAAAAGCCGACCGGCCGGTCGGGTATGTTCAAAAGTTTCATATTATGAAAACCAAGATATTAAATTTTTGTGGCCTTATTATAAATTTATAATACTTTAGATATTTAAAATTTGGTTATACTGTATAAAGTACCAAAATTACCGATGATAGATTTTCCCTAGACGGCAAACGGGACATAAAATATAATTGAAAGCCAATGTCAGGTTTTCACTCATATAAAGTCTATACCATTTTATGCTGTGAGATTAAATGACGACAAGATCAAATTAAAGCTCTCTTAAAACATAGATTGATGAATTATACCAAAGATAGATTGATAAACAAATGATGATTAATACGTATAACTTATTAGGAGTTTGGTTAGGTTTAGAGTTAGCAGGGGTGTGGCAATATCATTACCTATATTAATTGCATTTAAATAATCAACAGTTATTACATAGATGCATATTTAGGGAGGACCAGGTGCCATTATGAAATTTAATTAACGTTAAGGTCAGATCAAGACCAGTATGGGTTCGAGTTAGAATAGCTTTATGGGCAAGATCGTTCTTTCGACACGTTTTCTTAATGAACCTGGCTTTAACGGAACCCTATTGAGGAACATAATCTTTAAAGGCTTTGATCTTCCACAACAAACCATTAAAAAAGTATTGAACCAGATTTCACGCTAATTCAAAAATAATATAAAGAAATTGGAGAGTGCAAAGAATCTTCCAAAAATATGAAATAGATGAAATGAAAATACATTTTATTGTCAATAAATAAAAAATTATGTTACATCTATTTTCATAATTTCTGGAACGCCTAGTCGTTATCCGAAATCTTTTTGGTTATCCGATGAATTATCTAACGTTCCGGAAATTACTTCGCTGCCTCTGGACTGAAGGTCCGAAGACAGCGATGTAGTTTCCAGAGAGTTAGATAATTTACCGAATGACCAAAAAGATTTCGGATAACGAGTAGGCGTTCCAGAAATTATGAAAATAGCTGTAAATAACGCTTTTTTTTAAAAAAAAAGAGTACGAGAAATAAAAATTGCTCAAAGCATTTCTGTAAACAATACATTCGATATTAACCGCCAGAAATGCTGTAATCAGAATTTTAAATCCAAATTATGTAACTTATTTTGGTGGTTATACTAGGGTCATTCTGTTTTTTGCCTCGTGGAACTCAAAGTACGTACGTACATTATTTATTGAATGCCTTATTTATCATCTGGACTTAAATTATTGTATAGGTCTAGTAAACAACTAGTAAACAATTACAAATCCTCCACGTCTAATTATTTTACAATTACAACATGATAGTAATTGAAACATTTAACCTCCTTTGCTTATGTATATGACACAAAGATTTCTTGGAAAATTTATTTTGCCGTCTTAATTGTTTCATGTTATGACGATATCGAGATACGTACAGATGCTAATTTGGATGTGCCACTAACAAGTACTAACGTTAAAAGGTATGTACGACATTTACATTTTTATTAGCATCAGCATTAACTTCCTACTTTCACGTGACGTGATGACTTTAGACATGTATTTGATCTAGCCAACTATAGATTTAACAAAAACAAATTGACATAAATTTATTAAAAAAAAAGGCAATATAATAATAAAAAATCATTAAAACTAATAATAATAAAAATAATAATCATTAATCTTCTTTAACCTTTGATCCAATCAAAGATTCCATCAAATTTATAACACTATTTACAAAAAGACTCGCGACTGACCAAACAATCCAAATTATAGTACCTAAAATAATCAAAATTCCACAAAATAATACACCAAACACGTCAAGGTACTTGCCTCGAATAAAACCCATTCTCGTGTCTGGTGTAATTAATTCATTCAAATAAGAATTTGTAAAACCATTTCTCCTCATATTAATATCATCAGTTATTATTTGACTAGAATTAGTATCAACATCAATATCAACATCAATATCACCATAATTTTCTGGTACTAGTTGAGAGGCCAATAAAAGAAATTCGATCATATCAGCAGCTCTATACTTTCTCTTGCTATTAATCCTTGCTAATACCTGCATTCTTCTAGAATTAATCTGAATACTTTCATCAGTTTGCAATTGTTCAATTTTAGAAATTATATCTTCAACTTTAAGATTAAGTTTCGATAAAGTTAAAGCCACACCAGCAGCTTCTAATGCCTCAGCATTTCCCATTTGATCAAAAGCTATTGGTAAAGTTAACATTGGAGTTGCCGTGTATAAAGCCTCATGTGAACTTCCTTTGCCCGCATGAGATAAAAATACTTTGACATTTGTATGATTTAAAAGAGCAAATTGTGGTAAGAATTGAGAAACATGAATATGAGGATTTTGATTATTTAGAATTTCATCGGTTGATATAGTGGAACCATCAGATAATGATATAGTCGAAGGAATATCCTCATGAGATATTTGCACAAGCGCCCAGATTATTCCATCAATTACTTTACGATCGATTGCTTCGATGAAGGATTGAATCAAGGTTCCAATGTTTTCAGGTGTGGTATACACATGAGTACCGAACGCTACAAGCATTGTTCGTTTATGTTTCGCGATAAATGAGGATAGAATGGGAGTCATTGGTTCATATTCATCCTGCATTACAGGTCCAATTTCCTAATCATATTATGATAAATTCTTTTAATACATTATTTGATTACATTAAAAAGATTTAATTTACAATACTTACTTGAATAAGAGGGGGTAGATGGCTTGGAGTCTAAAATTTCAAGGTATATTAAAATCAATATGATACGATCGTCAAACAAATATATGCCGTAAATGAGATCGGAATTTAAGTTGATTTAATTTTTTGAATATAAACGACAGAAGTCCTACTAAACGGGTTATAAGAAACCAATCTATTGCTAAAATTAAGAAATTACAAGTTCATTTAAATTCCGTTCTCACAATATATTGAACAACAACTCACTTCAAAACCAAAAAATGTGTCAGCAAAAAATAATGTATTTTTTATCCTTTCTATTGAGTTAGAAGTAGGTGCAATGCCTACAGTAGCTCTAATTTCATTCAATTCATTCATATAATTTCTCGATTTGTAAATGATCCTTATGGGTGTGATAATAGCACATCGAAATCTTTCAATAAAAGATTCATGTTCCATATTTGCATGGCATCCAAACATCGGATCGGATTTATACGGAGAATACAACCTTGCTTCAAAAATAATAATAAATTAAAACAAAAACGTAATAATATCAAAAGAAACATTTATGTGAAATAAACTAACACTTACGAGTCAACCAGGAACTAATGCCAATACTAGGTTTTTTCAATTTCCAAGCAGTGTCATAACAAGCTTCGTTAAGGAAATGATCGCAGAGGAATAAATCAGGTTTAAATTCTAAAGCGGCTTTCGTATAAGTTTCAAATCTACTTAAATATTTGGAATTCGAAACCGCTTGTTGACTTAAAGCTTTAAAAAATGTAAACTCTTCTACGAATAATTCATGATAAATCTCAGGCATATCACGTGGATTGTGTCTTGGGCCAGTTGAAAAATGTTTGACTTTTGGATAATTTGGATGTGTAAAATTTCCTGGTGATACCAGAGCTACCTAAAATTTAAATACATTTAGTTTGCACGTCAGACAGTTATAAGAGACATAATATGAATGATCATTCGTACATTGTATCCACGTTCTGTTAGAATTTTCGTTATTTCTAGTGCTGGACGAAGATGGCTCATTCCTTATAAATTTATAAGTTGAAGAAAATTATTATCTGATTACAAAAAAAAAAAAAAAACCGAATACATTCTCTAAATGAATGAATTACCCCCAATGTAAGATCCGATGAGAATGTTTTTAGGAATATCTGTACGATCAAAATCCATTGGTCTTGAAGCAAAAGTATTTTCGTCATTATAATCTGCAGACGCGGGATTGAATATAGTCCATGCTTTTACACTTCCTTGTGAATTATAATTTCCGAGTAGATCATTGCATAATAGATTTATTCCAAGAAGGATTAAAAAAAATCGATATGGTGGATGTAATTTTGGTATCATGATTTTTTATTTTGGTAGAATTAAAGGATTGAGTTCGATTTTAATTATTTAAAGCAGATCAATGAGAAGTCTATCGATATATTACGAAGAAGAAGGATTAGATAAAAAAGGTCACGTGTTTTTAGCAGAGGAAAAGAAAGAAGTGAGAGAATTAATCTGCAGGAACGTTTTATCTTTATAAGCGATCGGGCTATAAGCCTATTGTATATTTAAAAAGGTTACACGAAAGCATAAGGGAGATCTTGTAACACTTCGAAACCTACAATATCTGCAAAAAAATCAATTGAAGAAAGTTTTAAGGTTAACGTTAATGATGATCTTTTCTTGCCTTGTTTAAAAACATCGTCATAACGATAACAAGTTTTATTGTTAAATTAATAGAGGTATAATTTTGTGTAGATCGCTAAATTTTTATTATTTCATGTGACAACGTGGCACTTAAGTCAGGGACCTGATGATTCTGCAAAAATTCTACGATTGGCCGGAATTACGTAAAGTCGGCCAGCATTATGATCCGCAATTCTGGTCGAATTGATATCAGCCGGCATTAGGCCCTAAATCCAAATTTAAAAAATGATCTGAACCAATTCCATAACGCAGAAAATCATTGTCCCTGACTTTAGTGTACAGAATCTGATTACGTACGAAATAAGTATTTTACTTATTACTCAATTAGTCACGGTAGGTATAGTTTCATTTTTGGAAACAACCAAAGACATCAACTCATACAGTGAGGTTTCTAATTTTCGGCCGAAATTCATCGGATGCATGTCATGGTTTGTTAGAAAATTTTTTTTGAAACTTTGAATATTTTTTGACGAATAAATTTAGAAAAGTTATTAATTTGGTGTACGTATGAAACACGGATATAATTTGTAGATCTCTATAACGTAAAATTTAAGGAAAAAAAATTAACGTCAAGATAGATGATATGATTAGGGTTAGAGTGTAAATTGTATTAACATTTCACGAAGATTTTTTTTTTTGTTGAATCCCAATAAATGTACCCGTGTTTCATACACTAGTGTATGAATAAAAATTGCCTTGAAAATCTTTAAACCAATAATTTTTTTTAAAATGTAATCAAATTTGAAACAAAACGCTAAATTATGATTGGTTAATATTTTAAAATTTTGATGTTTTTTAAAATTTTATTATATTTTTAAATTTTGTTATGTTATTTTTTTGGGGGTTAAAGTTCCTGTCTTCAGAGAGCGATTTTTATTCAAGTTATTATAGACACGGGAACCTCTAGAGGCTTTCTTACATAGAAGGTTACAACTAGCCACATGTGCATTTTTGGCACTTAATTTAAGTAGTTTATACATTACTATGTATGCAAGTTCTTTACTAGATGTCATACCTGCAAGCTAATTATAAGTCTTGCCTATTTAAACCTTCTGCATATACAATTCAACTTGTATTACAGAACATCTTTAGAGCACAGCTTATTCAAAGTTTTGATACATATTAGTACTTTTAGGATTATTTTATCTTTAACAAAAAAAACTTACTAAAGTTTTTTATATATACAACTGATCTAGTTTTATATAATATATTATAGTTAAATTAATACTTGCAGTTATGGATATTCTGTTAAATTATTATTACATATTATATTATTACAAAGTAGGTTTTTAGCATAATGTAATAGATAATATTATTAGTAGTTATATATATTTATATATTTTATATATATTATATTTATTATTAGTTATTAGTTATTAGTTAGTTAATAGTTATATTATATAATAAATAGATAAAAGGATCTTAATTAGTTATTAGAAATGTAATACAGTTACATGACACTAAGTAATACTATGATGTTACTATCATCTTATAAATTCCAAATACTCTTGTACAAGTTTTATATATTCTAATATCAAATTATTGTGTTAAGTATCACAACATAAGAATTCCAAGTATTCTTAATACAAATCCCAAGTATCTTTATACAAACTTTAAGTATCTTTGTATAAATTTATAAATTTCAAGTGTTTTTGTATAGATCCAAGTATCTAAACACAAGTCATTTTTTTTTTTAATATTATATTTATTTTTTATTTTTTTTTTTTTATTAAGGCAACCTCTTTGGTCTTTTGACTTTTATTAATCATTTATTGGTATTGTGGTTCAATGAATTACTATAAAAGAGAATACAATTGGCTATACATATAACTTTTCTATATTACCTATTTAAGGAGTCTACCTAAAGGTTCCCTATCAATTGCCATACCTAACACCCTTGCTTGGATGTTTTACTTTAAACTTTCTGAATCTGTAATCTGTGTTAACTCACTGGGTCATACCCAAATGCCCAGATCATTATCTTAATCTTAGAACTAATTTATTCTTGAAATAAACCTTCCAAAGCCTTCTGTACTTATTTTTACAGCTAACCTAGGTATCACTATAGCAGAACAAATACTTGTGATCAGAACTAATTATTAAACTACTATGCTTTTGTAAAGTTCACTTAGACTCTAGCATCTACTTCACAGCATAACCCTAATACTTTAGTATACCTCTGCCTTTTCACCTGCCTTTTTATCAAACTCCCAATTCAGATAGTCTACATAGGACTATGACCAGTCCATCAGTATATCAGGTCGGCCCAATATTCTTTTTCTCTGGTTTGTTCTAGTGGCCTGGTTGGTAGTACTCCTGAGACTTCCAACCTGAAGATTCTTGCCTATTTGGCTGCTATGATCAGATATTATGACCTTGGTATTCATTTTCTTGAGCTAACCTTTACAGTAAAGCCATCAAAGATCTAGCTACCTTTCTACTTGGGTCTTCCTAAATGGATTTCTTGTTATCTAAATTTAAGGAATTTATATAGCCATAAGGACTTATCTAGTGTTTGCATTGCCTGATATGTTAGTTTGTATTCCTCTGTATAATGCCATACTTACACAGATGCCCTATGACCTGCCAGTCATGTTGGTGTGACTGTTATTACAGATATTCTAACTTAATCATTAGTAACAGTTGCTATAATACGAATATTATATAGGTGATTATTCAAATTTCACTGTCGATAGGATTTGAACACCTAACCTACTACTTGGAAGGTTAACAACCTGACTACTTCACTAGGTCACCATACCCCTAATATTATATTTCTTATTACTAATAACAACTATAATACTAATATAAAAAAAATTTATAAATTTATAATTTCAAAAAGAAATCATATAATCAAAAATTAAATAAATTGATGCATCATTAATAGACTATTAGTTAAATCATTATTAAATTAGACAATATCAAATAAGATTTTTTTAAAATTCTTGTCTCACAACTTAGCACTAATTAATTATTAATAAAAATAACTTATAGAAAAATTAGTGATTTAATCAAATATTAAATGAACTAACATATCTCAATTGATTTAACACTAATTAATTTTATATATATGATCAGAAAACTGTATAATTAAAATTTTCTTAATTTATATCATAAGTTGTTATATAAAGGAATTTAAATTCCAGTAGTATAATAAAAAATATATATATAAAAAACAAAGATTTCTCTCTTAAATCAATTTAGTTTTTTGTCTTGGCTAAATATTACTAAGTTTAGTTTCAGATATTTAAGAAATAATAAAAATGTTTCTTTATAAATTATATTTTCTTGACTAATTTTTGATAAAGCTTTGTTTGTATGTCTTTACAGATCTTTTTATAAAAATCTGTAATGAAGAAATTAACTTATTTTGAGAAATCTTACTAATAAAACAAATAAAATAGTCTTATAAAATTATATATTTTTTTATTAGATGAACATTTTTATTAATATTTCAAAAATGATTATCTTAATAAAATTCTTCATAAAATATGATTTCTTATCTGATAACTTTTTTTTAATTTTTACAAGAAATAATTATATTAAATTTGATTATAATAGTTAAATTAAATATATTGTATAATGATAATAAAATTGATACATATGACTTTCAAGAGTTCACATATCAAATTTCAAGTCAAACAGACAAATATTCATAAAATAAACTCAATTTTTAATAAAACTTCATTTATGTTTATTTGCAGATCTTTTTACAAAAAAGTTGTAATAATAAAATTGATTTATTCTTTAAAATTTTATTAACAAAACAATAAAATAGTTTTATAAAACTATATGTTTTTTTATTAGATAAATATTTTTTATTAATAGGCTAAAAACAATTATCTTAATATACTTTATCATAAAATATGATTTCTCATCTGATCTCTTTTTTTTAATTTTTACAAGAAATAATTATATTAATTTGATTATAATGATTAAATAAAACATATTATATAATAATAATGAAGTTGGTCCAGATGATATTCAAGAGTTTATATATCAAATTTAAAGTTAAATAGATCAATATTTATGAAATAAGCTCAATTTTTAATAAAGCTTTGTCTGTATATCTTTGCAGATTTTCTTACAAAAATTTATAATAATAGAAATCAACTTATCCTGAAAAAACTTATTAATAAAATAAATAAAATAGTCTTATGAAACTATATGTTTTTTTATTAAATAATTATTTTTATTAATAATCCAAAGATAATTCTCTTAATAAAATTCTTTATAGCGGATGGTGATCCTAGTGTAGTGGTTGAGTTGTCATCCTCCAAGTGGCAGGTTTAAGGTTCAAATCCCATCTACGATGAAATTTGGAAATTATATCTGTGTTATGGTAACTGTCTCCTGTCGATCGGTTGGCCTCATGTGGCTGTTA